GTCATTTAACCTTCCCCAGCCCTGATTTCCTCCTCTGTGAAATGGTTAGCACACCTGTCTGTGGGGCGGGGATACAGCTCAGTGCAAAGCCTTGCAAGGCCCTGTGTTCTTCATTCCCCAGCACCAATTTGTAAAAATTATTTTTCTTCAGGACCTGCCCTGCCCATTTCACAGGCTTATTATGGGACTCAAATGACATAAGCAAGTGTTTGAAAACTAAAGGCTTTGTCTTGTGGTTTCAAAAGCAGTAATTCAAGTTTCAAAAATGGTGCTTTGCGGTATTAACTTCTAGGGATTTAGCAGTTTCAAATTCATGGATGATTCTCATGGTCTCAAAGAATCCACTCCTAGAGCTTCTCTTCCTATTTTGTTTCTGAAGACAATCACTTTTTCACTCACTGAAAGGCCGTAACTCCAGATGAAAAGGAAAAGTCTTCTTTGCACAGTCTGACATGTCTACTAGTGTGGCACTTAGTGGACCTGTTTCCAACAGGAATCGGGGGGTTGGTGGCAGTCACAGAGATGGCCCAGGTCCCTATCAGGAAAGGACTTGCTGCCTGGATACAGAGTTGAGTTGGGACCTGCCTCAGCCTCAGAGCCACCTTGCACAAGGTGGAACCTGTGTAGGGCAGGCCACATCCGTCCTGTGACCAAGTGAGACAGTGGTGCATGCTCAGCTTTCCTCCCTGACATGGGATGCCTTGATGGGCACCACACAGACTCCTGTGTGTGTTGTCTCACTGGGACGAGGGATCACCTGAGGCTCAGGGGGCTACATCGAGCTGGGCTTCTTTGTCCAACCCTGCTCATTCCTCTTTCCTTCACAGGTGCTGGCCCCGAAGACACATGCCTTGCACCCCAGATGTTATCTCCATGTCTGCTTCCTAAGACCCTGACCTGTGACATTTGGCTGCAATGCTGTAGAAAAGTGAGGTAAGTGGGAGGGTCTGTCTGTGAAGAAAGAAGGGACAATGGACAGAGGGAGATGTGAGGTGGCACCATTGCTACAACCAAAGACGGCACTCCATCTCTCAATGAATGGATGGTGCAGAGATCTAAGACGCTACAGCTGTGGAGTGAAAATCTGCTGTTCCTTGTCCTGTTGTTGATTCTTAATCACACCCTACAGACATGCTTTCACCTGGAAGCACCACTGGCTGATTTCTTACAAAGTGCCAATTATTATACAAAAACCATAGCTAATATCAGGTTTGGCCGAATAATCCAAATGTTAATCATAGGTCTGTTTTTCAATTATCTTTGTAAGTGTGGATGAAAAAGAAAGTGGCATTTTCTAGAGATTGGCTCTCGCCTGCTTCATGTGGACGGGTAAATTTCAAGGCTGAGGTTGACCCTGTTGGGGGTCAGAGGTCCTAGTTTCTTAAGTGACTGCAAATCCTACTAAGAAAAGGAAATCTCAGTTGAAAACCTGTCGCCCACCTACCCAATCCTCCCCTCTGCCCCATCCCGTATAAACCTTCTCACATGCTTTCCATTGCATTTACAATACGGACCTTGGCCTAGTAAGGCCCACCCACAAAGTCCGACCCCTGCCTCAACCCCAGCCTCTTTCCTGACTTCTCCTTGCTCTGGACACTACACTGCAGCCACACTGCTCTTCCAATGACTCCTCAGAGAAGCCCTGGAACTCCTATTCCCTCTGCCCAACACTCTGCACCCCAACCCCACCCTGGCTCCTTACTTCCTCTGGGAAGGTCCGCGGATGCCTCACCCCCAGGTCTGGAACAGGCTCCTCACTGAAATGATCTTACTTAATCCCACATGCCAGAGCTTCTCCAATCTCCATCTCCCCACTCCAACAACAGGCTTCAGGAAAGCAGAGTGATGTCCAATTTCACTCTCCACCCTGTTCCAGCTCCTAGCACTTCCTGGCATTGCAGGCTCCAAATCACCATTTGTCGAACAAATGGATAAATGAGTGAACAAATGAAAGAGGGAAATTACTGACTTTGGTTGGGTGGTCTGAGGTTTCTTAGGGTTAAAATGTAGTGTTAGTGGGAAATTAAAGCAAGGAGGCTGAGCAAAAAACGTACATGGTAGCAACTTCTAGAGAGAGTTTCTCCCTAGTCACCCACAGGGAGGAAGGCAAGGGTGGGTGAGTTTGCAGGCACCCTCTGGAGTCACAGTATGGCTGCCTCCCTCATCACAGAAGATCAAAGTACCCAAGCACCAGGCCTTAGCCTAGATGAAAGTTATTCACTTCACAATCAGGAAGAAATGCTGTGGAATTAAAGTTAGAGTGTACTCTTGAACTGGATTTCATTCTCCAATGCTCTAAAGTTAACTAGCTGGTATCATTTTAAGGGATAATTCTATTTAACCTTTGGAAATGAAGTATCTGCCTCTTAATGGAAAAGCTGCTTCTCATTGTAAAGAAGGCACACAATGTTCTTGGCTTCTTGAGTATCTTGAACTTTCCCTGTCAAAAAATCAGGCCAGATTGATAGCTAACTTTAAAAAATAATAATAATAATAAGTAGAAGGTACCAGCCCAAATGAGGAGCACCATGCAGGAACACTGTGCAGATGTATCTGTCCCCCAGAACCTCAAGAGATTTGAGAATCCAGAGGACAAAGCTCAGCGCCATTGCCCTCAGGCAAGAGCTAAGTCGGCCATGCATCCAAAAGTTCTTTTCCCAAAAAGCATCAAGAAAGTATAGTAACTAATCACCTGGTCAATCAAGTATTGATTCTGGGCACAAGTTCCGCTCTAAGGGGCCTGGTGAGGTTGGGTCCCTCTAACCAATAGCACATTGCACAGTTCTTGTACCCACAAGTCCATGCAGCCCAAAGGCAACAGCTCTGGATGTGCTACATGCCAAGTGCTTTGAATCTTTCCCGCTAGTCTCTTTAGAGCACCTAAAGGCACACAGCTAGAAAGCAGTTTCAGATGCTGGTCTGTCTGATGCCAAGCCCACATTCGTGACCACTGTGCCCTCGGGGTTGGCAGAGCTCAAGGAGACGGACACTTGGGGCAGGCACAGAGGCTCCATGGGGAAGGGCCAGTGAGGAAGCAGATGTGTAGCTCTGTGGTGGACAAAGGGTACAGACAGAAGGCAGCAGGAGGGGGAAAGACGACAGAACATGGCAGCGGCTGAGAGACACCCAGCACTGAGTGAAGCCGTCTGCTCTGCAGGCAGTCTCGACATGCCTGCATTGCTTGCACAGAAACAGCTGGGATGAGCTAGGAGAGAGGGCCACATGGAAAGGGGTCTGGCCTGTCCTTTGCCCTTCTTCTGTACCATTCTGGGCCTGGGTCAGATCCCAGGCATGGATGGCCATGCTACAGCCTTAAGAGTCCTGTGTTCTAGGAGGGGCAGCTTCATGGACTATGGGTGTCTGATGGTACCTGGCTGGTTCCAAGTGACCTTATGGTCACCCTGTCTCCTAGCTCTGACTCACACTGGGGAGTGACAGCTGGAGGTGGGAGGAGCTCAGGCTAGGGCTCACTGTCCCAGCCACTGGACAGCAGTCTCATAAGGAGCGAGGGAGGCCAGCCCAGCACCATGTACATGCTGCTCTACACAAGGAGACCCTCAGTAAACAGCTTTTGGCTTGTTCATTCATTCACTCACTCAACAGGCAGTTACCAAAGGCCCACCAGGAGCCAAGGATTGTGCTTTGGGTGCATGTGACGGGGCCACACAAGCTGTCACCATTTTGGGAGCTCTGTCCCTTGCTGTTGATGGTGGGTAATGGTGACAGATGGTCCACAGTAACTGGAATGAATATCGGCACATGGAGGAGCCCAGAAGGCTGGATGATGTTCCGCCTGCTCGTGCTCCTGGTGCTCCCTGTGTGGTTCAGTTGCCAGGCAAGCAGTCCAGGCAGTTCGCTCCTCAGTGGCTTCTCTCCATCAGCCCAAATCCTAACATGATTAGGAAAAAACGATACATGACAAGTCTTTAGATGGGTCTCAGCGTGTTACTATCTCAGGTAAAGGACAAAGTTGTGTACATCTCTGCTGCCCCTCTCAGTCACCTTGGCATCTTAGAGAAGCCTGGGGCATTTCATAATCCCACCTCATTCTGGCTGCTCTTCTGAGAACACCCAAGTAGGCCGAGGTTCTTATTAAAACTGGGGGACCCAGACCTTGGCACCCAGCTGGGATAGAGCCTCAGGTTCTTGTGCTTCCTTGGAGGCGCTGCCCTGACCCTCCCTGGAGAGGAGGCAGAAGTTTGATCCCCCCTGGGTCTTCTCTCCTGTGCCATACAGCTTCCCTGCAAAAACTGAAATAACAGCTCTGGGGAGTAGATGGTTAAGCCCAAAGGTAGCTGAGCCAGATGTGGCCCTAGGACAAGTCCTTTCTTCTTGATGCTCCAGGTGGTTCGACCACTGGCAGCAGCCTTCTCCATGGGTTAGCGGGTTATATGGCCATGTAACCAGTGCCTCCGGCAGTGTGGCACTGCTTCTCCTTAACCAGGGCCCTGGAGGAGCAGTGCCATTCAGGAAGGTCCTTTGGGGAGGCTCAGAGATGACTCTGACTTGGGGACAGTGGCCCTTGAGGCAGGAGGCCCATGAGCTGATGGAATTGTGAAAGGGCAGTGGCCAAGGGACAGGTAGGAAGCAGGCGCGGTACATCCCCCGCCCCGCACGCTTCCAGCCCTTCACCAGGAAGAGCCTACTATGGCCACGTGATGGCAGAGTGGCTTTGAACACCCACTCCTGATTCCCGGAGTTTTCCCCATCATTCTGCTGCCCCCTGGGAATGGATGTGTGGGAGAACTGTGGGCTTGTCCGATCCTGGGAGTCTCATTTCAGGGACCTCCTTCCGGACAGGTTCTGAGGGAGGGCTTGTAATCCTCTCAGGCCCCTGTCCCCCTGCACCTGCCAGTCCCCTTCCCCGGAAGGTCTCAAGATCTCCAGGAACCACGTGCAGCCCCCGGCCTTGGGTGGTGTGGGGGTGACAGGCAGCCTGGGGCCAAGTCCTGCACAGACCTCCTCCGAGGGACGTGGGCCTTGTTTGGCATCTGGATGCGCTGACCATGCTCTCCAAAGGAGGAGTGTGCGGGGCGAGGGGTGGAATCCAGTGATTCTCAGCCCATAGGAATTCCTGCCCTCCCTCTCCTCTGGCCGCCTGGCCTGTCTGGCTGGGCACTGCCCTCCCCCTCACTGCCCGCCTGTCCCCTGGGCGGCTTGGGCGCCACCGCGACTGTCCCCAGCCCGCCTCGCAGCCCGGCCAAAGAGCGGCGTGACCCGAGGCGCTGCCACAGCCCCCGGCCTGCCGGGGGTATAAAGCGCGTCTGGCCCAGCCTGCGTAGCCCTGCCAGCCGGCCGAGGTGTGCACATGGCCCGGGGCGCGGGGCGCGGGCGCGGGGCGGCGGGCTGCGGACTGCGCAGCGCGCTGGCGGCCCTGGCCGTGCTCTCGGCACTCAACGCGGCCGGCACGGTGTTTGCGCTGTGCCAGTGGCACCGGCTCCGCGCGGCGCTGCGGGAGCTGGAGGCTGAGCGTGGCGAGGACGCGGCCGTGCGCGCCTTCCTCAGAGAGCTGCATCTGGCGCGGGACCGGAACCCCGACGCCCACCCCGACCCCGACCCAGAACCTGACCCTGGCCCTGACTCTCTCAGCGCGGCGCGCGCCAAGCGCAGCCATGGGGAGCCCGCGCCGGCCCTGCGCGCCCAGAGCCAGGACACGCTGATGTTGATGACCTACTCCATGGTGCCGGTAGGCCCCACCGCGAGGGTGGGAGGGTCCCATCTGCCCGGGAGGGGCACGGGAACCCCTTCTCCAGCGTCCTGGGTCTGCAGCAAGAGGGGGCCAGGCAGTGTTCCTAGAGCCCACTTTCTTCCCAGCTCTGGGCAAAAGTGTTCATTCTGCCTGTACCCTTGGCCTCTGATGGAGCGTATGCTTCTGAAGGGATGCAGGTTTCTCCAGCACTAGGCTCCCTCTCTGACCTACCTGATGGCCAGGTTTTCCCCTGGCCTCCGCGCATCTCCACCAGGTGGCCCACGGAAGTGGAAACCATCCCTGACCCTCCTGGCCACAGGCCACGTAGACGCTGAGAAGTCCCTCCCGTGCCTCGGGCTGTTCTAAAGGGGAAAAATCAGCAGTTTCCGCAAAACACAGGGTTAGCGCCAGGTTCCAAAAGGGGCCTGTGAACCGCCCTGCGCGTGAGCTTCAGGGTCCACCGCACTGCGTGAAGCCCGCACATGTGCATCCCTTGCCGGCAGCACCAGGGGAAGAGGGTACATGGCTTTTCCCCACAGGGGTCCCAATACACACAGAGCCCAGATTTAGAAATTCTTTAAAGCAAACCACCCTAAGTCTTCTCTTTGCTTTTGCTGACTTTAACTCAGTAATTTTTTAAAAACTAGATTTGCTATAGATCATGTAGTTCTCCATTCCATCTCATTGTCCGTTGGAACCGCTGTGGTCTATTTCACTTTATAATGAGAAAAATTCAGTTGTCACCTTGGGTAGAATGAGCCATACTTTGACATCCTAGGTATCTGTAGAGAAGCCCACTTACGGCCTCTTGTGATCATAGAAGCTTTTAAATATCCTACATGAGCATAAATGCTTTTAAAACTACAAATAAGTACTGCACACTTCAAATGCATCTCTTGAGAAAGATCAAGTTTTCCATTCCTAGCTGATTTTTTTTACTCATATTATCATTTAGAAATCTGAGCCTAAGCCAAAATTAAAAAAAAAAAAAAAAAAGACTACTGTAGCCTGGTACAGTGGTTCATGCAGATAGTCCCAGCTACTGGGGAGGCTGAGGCAGGAGGATCATAAATTTGAGGTCAGCCCAGGCATCTTAGCAAGACTCATTCAGAATAAGGGCTGGGAATGTAGTTCAGTGGTATAGTGCTTGCCAAGCATGCCTACGGTCCTGGGTTCCATCTCTAGCATAAAAAAAAAAAAGGAAAATTAAGAAAATGCCTTAATTTTAGATGAAGTCCCTCCTTCCTCCCTCTTGCCTTTTGTATCCAAATTGCAAACTGTGTCAGTCACTATCATAAGAAGGTAGAGATTTACTTCGTCACTATGAAAGCTACATTTACTTCCGGTTACCTCACAGCCAGAGCACCAGCTCTCTCACAGGTTCAGAGAGCAGCACCTGAGTTTCCTCAGGCTGGGAGGCACTGGTGGATGGTCACACCATGTCCCTCACTTTCCAAGTTCTGGCCTCGTAGTGTCACTCAGGAAGTTGTCACAAGGACAGGAGGAGGCTGGGGTTGTGAGCTGACTTTCATCTTGGGAGTAGTTCTCAGGCAGAGGGTTTAGGAGTCCCCGGGAAGCTCCTTAGAAGGCAGATGCTACAGACCCACCCTCATGCTCTCCAGACCTGCAGGCTCATCCTCTCTGGACCTGCTTTCTTGGGAAGGCCCTTGATTCTCACCCCACCTCCCACAGGGTGACACATGCACTACAACTCTAACACAGCAGCTGTGACACTGCACACATACACCTTAGAGGCCTTGTTAAGAGGGGACTCAGAAGTGCTAAGAGCCTGTGGCACTAACAAGCTCTCACCACAGGCCACAGGGAAGTCCCAGAGCACTGGGTGCTATTTAGAATCATGGGACAGAGGGTGCTTGAATGTGCCCTGCTGCCTGCATCACACCCCAGAGATCCTGAATTGTTCTGGGGCATGGTCTGGGGTGCAGCACATACTCACCAACATCCAGGAGCTTGCGGTGACTTTTCTTAAGCTGGGTTACTTTATCCTAGCAATATTCCCACCATTAGTCTTTACACATGTTCTCATCTTTACTGTCTGCTTTTTCTCAGAACAGAAATTATTCACATGAGAAAACAATTTTTTAAAAAATCACTGACCTAGTATGGTGGCACACATTTGTAATCCCAGCACTCAGGAGGCTGAGGCAAGAGAATTGCCACAATTTCAAGACCAACCTGATCTACAAAAGCAAGTTCAAGGCTAGCCTGAACAATGTATCGAGATAAAAAATATCACTGGGTACCTCTAGCAGAGAAATTCTTAAGAGAAAGATCCAGTAGAATATATCATGGAATGGCATGCACACGTCTAAGGGCTAATCCACACCATCCCTGACCTTTTATGTATAGCACCAGATAATGAATGAGTGAGATCTGAGGACTCCCTCTGAGGTTTTGTGTCCTTAGAGATCTAGGAATAAAGGAATAAACTCAGTGCAGACTAATGTCAGAATTTGGAAAAGCCTTCCAGAATCGTTTGTTTATCCAAAATGTGCCTCCTCGAGCTAACTGACACTTCCCACTTCTGTGCTTGGCTGAAAGTACTTCACTCAGCAGGGTAATTCTGATTAGCACATTCTGATCAGAAGCTGGTTGGCAGCTGTAAACAAGTTCGTTTAAAAGGCAGGCTAATTAATTATTACTGAAGTGCAGTTAATTTGATACAGCCAGGTATATTCAATCTTTACAAAGCAAGTAATACTTTGGAAGAAACTTACCAACAAGGATAAGGGGTAGATAGAGCTTGGGAAACACCGGGCCAGGCCAGACATGGGAACAGGGCCTTGTGAGTGTCGAGAACAGAGAATTTACCCATCTGCCTCCATTCTTGCAAGACTCCTGCTGCCTCTGTTGAATCTCTTTCTCCTCCCAATCTGGTTGGTTTGGGGCAGCCCAGGGTATTAGGACAGCAGGTGTCTGGGTGTGTCTGGGTGGAACATGGCCTTTGGATCTCCATCAGGTTCCTTGCCTCTTGCTCTCAGGTTCTTTCCCTTACTCTGCTTCCCAGCTGCCATGAACCAGGCAGCTTTGTCCCATGGCCCTTCTGGGCCCTTCTGCCATGCTGTGTCTGTCTTAGAAACAGTCCAGTTGACTATGAACTGAAGCCTCTAAAACTACAAGCCAAATAAACTCTCCTCCTTTGATGTGGGCACTGGGTCATTTGTCCTGGCAACAGGAAAGCTGGTGGATACACACAGTGAAGAGAGAAGGCACTGAGACTGGTGAAGTGCATTCAGTGATCGGCAACCTTGGGAGACCGAAACGTTTCTAGGCCAGGACACTGTTCACAATGCTGAGCACCCCTCTAATAAGAAAGTCACTCTTACCATTTTAAAGTAGCAATTGAAAATCCAAATTATTTATTTAAGGAAGGCAAGTATGATTTAATGATAGTCTCACTGAAAAGACATTTAACAAAATCTAATGCCTATGCTTGATTTTTAAAATACACAATATAGTGGAAATCAAGAGATTATTCCCTAACATAATAAAGTACAGCTTACTTCTCTTACACCCAAAATCAGTTTTCCACTTGGGCAGAGAAATCCTAGAGATGATCTTAGTAATCATATTAAGACAGGAATATTTTGTCACTCGTAGTATCTTGCATTGTCCTAGAAGGATTAATCAGAGCAATAACACAAGGGGAGGTGCTTTTAAAATGTTGAGAGGTCTCTCATTGCTGGGACAAAATATCTGACATTCAAAATGAAGGAAGGAAAGGTTTATTTAGCTCACGGTTTGTGGAGGTTTCACATAATCAGCTGGCTCCAAGGCAGGGCTCACAGCACCCAGGCAACAGTTCAAAACAGCAGAAGACAACAAAAATAGCAAGAGCAAAAGAGGGAGAACAAGTCTCTTTGTCTCCCTTATATTGTAAGCAGGCTACCAGCACCCTGGGGCAAGTGTAGCACTCACACCTCCTCTGTGCCTCCCTCTTGCAAAGGCTGAGGACATTTATAAAATAAGGATCCTGGCTCCCTGCTGAGTCTTTAGTTAAACTTCTAAACTTCTCAAGTTAACACAATGTACCAACTATTACAGGAGCGAAAATCTGGTTAAATTCTGATCCTATATTTATATGCCTGAAAAATCCCAGAGAATTTGTTGATAACCCACTGCAAACAAAAATGGAATTCAGTGACAAATGAGATATAAAAGCATTACAAAGAAATCAACAGACTTCTCCTATCCAAACCACAATCAAATAAAAGATGCAGTGGAAGTAAAGATATGCAAAACTTATGTTTGATGTCAAGAAAGGGTTAGCAGGCCAGGGATTTAGCTCAGTGGCATAAGTGTCTGCCTGGCAAGTGTAAGGTCATGAGTTCAATCCCCGGCACCAAAAAAGAAAAAAGAAAAGAAAGGGTTAGCGACCATTCTTGAAGATCATGAAAGATTCAGACCAATAGATTCAATTGATGTTTTTAATAGTAAATTTGGAGGGATATTATGTCCTTAAGTTGGTTTAGCAGTCTAATGCTACCTCAACATAAAAATACTAACATTGTTTGGTTGCCTCAGGGACCAGACAAACTCATTCTGTGCCTCACCTGAAAAACACGATGTTGCCATGCATGCTTGGTGAGAAAATGTCCGAGAGGCTAAAACAGAGCGACAGGAAGGACCAGTGCTATCGGATATGAAAGGATAACTAAAACCTGAGTAACTAAAGCGTTCCGGGAAGAGAACAGACCAAGAGGACAGCATGGAGCCCCTCAGTGGTTCCAAATATGTGTGTCAACATAGTGATGACCAAGGCAGCACCTCACAGCAGCAGGGAGAATGAAGGACTGAGCTTAAGAAATGATGCGGAGACAACAGCGAGCCTCTGGGGAAATGTTCAGAAAGACAGCTGTATGTGCACCATGTGCGGTTTTAAATGCTCTAAATGTATCAAATGTATTTTTATAAATGAAAGTAAGATTACTGAAAGAAAATGTGAGTAAGTTCATTTTAAATCTTAGAACTGCAAA